TTTACTGATCTTAAGTATATATTTGATGCAGTGAATTCCCCCCCCCCCGGCCTCACCTCCCCACATACTCACATGCTATAAATGCTAACTGGACCACGTAAACACTGCATCTTCGCGCCAAAAAATCACACATGTGAGGAGACTGACTTAATATGTTGAACCAAAAATATAACTAAATATAAACGAATCCACCGAGGGAGCATCAATTTGCCATCATCAAACTTTTCTAATCCACTGCCGGAGGACGACCTCTCCAAGACTTTGCCATAAACCTGTGCCTTCCTAGATTCTCATTCTTCTTGATTCAACGAACTTCTTTAAGTCATTCTATCATCCATCTAGAGGTCTTCTTAAGGACCGTTTTATCTCTCTTGAAACTCAGTCGAATACCTCTCTGGTCCAGCGATGATAAGCTGCTCTTATAACGTGTCCTGTCCATTGCCAGTATAAATTTTTCACTCGGGCAGTGAAAAAACAGATTCTTATTTGCACCGTCATCCAGGGGTGTTCCAACCTCTTCTTGTTATTCTTAACGTACATCTTTCCATGCTGTAGTAAGAAGTCTGCAGTTTATGAATAGCTTTCAGGCTTAAAATCCATGTTTATCACCCATAGGCTAGCACTGAGAGCACTTCTGAATCAACTGGACCGGAACAGCAACAGGCTCCATGGTCTTAATTGATTCGAACGCGCATAATGTCACGTCATCGATATAATCGGTCTGGCACCGAACTGTTCATGACTTATTCAAGTCTTTTCCGTGGCTTCTTTCATCATACATTCAAACAGCCGCAGTTGTGATTGCTCTGCCTCGAGAACGTGGCTCGTGATCGATGGCATCCGCAACTATCGCCTTATTTAAAGCGATTAGCTTACTGTAGTTTTCTAATTCCTGATATAATTGATCAGACATCGTGAATTCGGACCTTTCACGAGCTGTGATCACGGATCAAAAGCTAGGGAGAAATGTGGAAAGATTTCAAGATTCTTTCCTTAAAAATTAGTAAGGACGGTGGCTCACAGTGTTTTCGTCAAGATCGTTCGATCAGCTCCTTGAAAGTTAGCCTGCCTACGAAGTCGCGATAAACTTGAGCAGTTGAATAGAATTTTTCCTGAAGGAGTTTTCGATTTTGGGACAATGATTCTTCAACGGATTATTTTCTTGGTACACGGGTGGAGAGTCCGGACATAAAACAAGGATAGAAATGGATTAGTAAGGGTCGAGCGTTTCGTTACCAGCACTGGTAGCAATATCAAGACTGAATAAATGAAAGGTCAAGCCAACACCTTGGCAGAAGAACAAAGTAGGAATAACATACTTCTGAGTGACAATTATGCCACTCTCGTCTCGAACTGACATTTTTGCTCTAGCTTTGACTTTGGCAAAGAATGAGGAATATTTTTTGAAACGTTGGTGGTTTCGTACAAAATATGAAGAGGCTCTTATTAATACTTCTAATCTGGTGCTCCCTGTCATTTACGAAAGCATTCCTTTTACTGATGTATCTCCTTCACGAATGGCATGGGATGCAATGCCGAAAACAGTCAAAAGTATAAAATGGCTTATTTATACACAACACAAGCAAAATTGGTCAATCAGGTGATCAACCAGTACGGACGTTTCGACTCATCTATCATTGGCCTTCTTCAGGGTGGTCCGGATTGATTTCCGCAGGTCGCTCTGTGGTCCGCAACTGTTGTGCCGTTTGGAAACAAAGGAACAATACTTTTATCAGTTTTCAATATGATCACCAACGCATGAGCAATATGTTTATCTCTGAATGCAAAGCCTTAGCATTCAGGATGATAGTTGCAGATTGTAGGATTATGTTTCTTCACTCTGCTGCCAAGCCTTCGATAGGTACTACCAAATCTGTCGGAATCGCTGCACTCTGTCTTATAAACTACATTAATACCTCAGCTGGGTTGCTCAGAGATTCGTACGAATAAATACAGCAAGTGTCATCTTGCCGCTATAGTAAACCCGAGGAGAGTAACGGGTGGAACGGCATTTATGAGTCTGGTTTTCAGCGGTTTATTAACGTTATGCTGCGGGGCAGCTATCCATTGCTTAACTATGCTGGCAAATAAGGTTCTTGTGAAAATGGTTGGCGCGACGTAACTTAGTGGTCTCTCTTGGCAAACTCGTTAATTACCATCAGCAACAGCTTGTCCATTAATGACGCTTAGAAGACCAGGGTGCAAACAGAACTGCTGCACACGACTTTATTTGGCAGTACAACTGTTAACAATTATAAGTCTATGACGTAAATGAATAAGAATAAAAATATCAGTCGGTCGGTCACAATACTTTCGTATACATATCTCCTACATATTTACAATGAAAGCTGTGACATCAGCATCCTTTAACATAGAGTTCCAATGACAACTACATCAAGCCGTTCATCGACGGGTCGTCCATACGCTCCATTTCATTTGCCTTAGAACCGCCAGTGACGATGTAAACAATGACACACAGATGCATGGGCCAGCTTACTTACGAAAGGGCTAATTTCTTCTTTCAGGTTGTAATTCAGACTGTTGTTTGTTGCTCTATGATTACCAATTATGCATATTCTCCATCATGTTCTGGAATAATGCAGAAAAAACACAACGTTTTGCTGAAGATCCCTACTGGAGTGAGTTGATTTTTCGTTCGACCGAAAATTCAAGCTTCTAACCGCTGTTGCGGTTACTACTCTGTACAAGCACATGCACGAATGGCACGGTTTCGTGACGTTCTATTTTCTTT